GAGGATCCAGAGCTCGATTGCAATCCCAGGTGTGACTGTAACATGCACAGAAATAAATCAGTAGCTCACATTTCTGTAAGCTTATTCTGCTTGCAGACCGCTGGAATCTTTCAGCAAAGGCCAGAAGCTGCTAATACCATTATTTCTGTTCACTATTCACACCCTTCTCACATTTAAGCCTTTCATCCCCAGCTCCATCCCACCTTTATCTCTGCCAGCTAAAAGCCACTAGATAATTTTACCTCTAACTTTCACAGGAGCAAATGTGGACTCTCCGAAAGCTTCTAGGAAACTCAGCTCTGATAGTAGCATCTTTGTGCAGGGATCCTCCCGCAATAACATAAAAAAATGGCTAGCAGAGTTAAGGGGGAAAATCGCAGCAAGGCCTGGTATCACTCATTGCTTTCGGGTTACAGTTCCCAAGTGATAACAGCTATTAGCAACACTTTGACGGCTTCCCTACCGTGGAGGGGAGGGCAGGAGACAGAAAACATGTCAAGCCATCACCTCCATGTTAAGTGATAAGTACCTATTTAGACGGCAGAGTTAAAGCTGAATGCATCAAGCAGGGAACACTTTGTGCCAAAATAAAAAAAATAAAAAAGGCCATATAGATACATAAAAAGCAGGATTAGGGTATTTGTCCTGCTGACAGCAGCTGTGATGGATTGTTTAAGAAAAATAGACTCCCTGTGTTTTTCCAGGGCTATCAGAAAGCAGGAGTCCAGCACTTTAATACTCTCAAATGACTGGCCTTGAGAGGCAGCAGAATGTCAGCGGCACTGGCTGGGCTCTCCCAGCGCTGACACCTGCCCCGGCTGCCGGTGAGAGGCAGTGCTTAGGGCCGGGGGCGGTGCGTGCCGGCAATTTTCATCCATTTCCTCGGGCCGACGGCTGCACCCTGACACCCGTCCCCTCCCCTCGCACCGCCCCGAGCCCTCGCCTCGAGCACCTGTGGGTCGGGAGCCGGCGGCGTGTTGGCACGCGTGCCCTTGCCAGCATCGCCTCGGAGCTGCCCGTGGCTCTTCCGCCCGAGCAAGGAGGAGCAGGTCCGGAGAGTGATGGACTGGGATCACAGCAGCTGGCACACCAGCTGCATGATGCACGTTCGATTCATGCCAAACCTGCCCGTGTATTTAAATACGTAAACTATATGTTGATCCTAATTGCAATGAGACCGCTGAAACATTTGCAGATGCTGCAACCCAGCTCTGCAGAACTGCACGGTCCGTGGAGGGTGTCGGGAGCTACCAGGGTGTGAACCTCACAGTGTGAGCAAGGCTTAGGTGGCCTCTGCTTCCTGCGGTGCCGCATCCCCAGGGAGAGCCCAGATCCGCGGACAGAGGCAGGTAAAGCCATATACCCAGACATGTCTCCTCCCCTTGGCACGGCACAGCTGGGCTGCAAGGGGTGGGAAGGAAACGCCGAGGAGGGCCATGGCTGCCCAGCACGGCAGGAGGGGCAGGAGGAAGGAGGGAGTACGTGGCTCGGACAAGATTGATGGCCTCGTTGCCATTAAGAAAAAAATTAGCCGGTGGCGGCTATCATATTAAAGGGTGAAGAAGCCGTGAATTATTTTCTTAAAGATCTTATCACTTACAATGATAATTTTACCTTCCAAAAGGCCACTTTTAATGAGGCAAGCCAGGCAAAAAGTCATGATTTAATGCCAGATTTTTTTTTCCAAACACATTTTACTGCTTTTTTGTCCATGTTTAAAAAGCGCCGGTGACCTTTTTTTATTTAGCTTGCCCCAGGTGTAATGCTCAGGCTGATCCTCTCAGGGTTTATAACCTCCGCAGAGAGTGCCTTTACCCAATGGAGAGATGATTTAAAGGGGAGGGAGAAATATGAGGCTGCACGGCCGCTTGCACAAGGCCCTTGCTCCATCTTTGATGCTGGGAGCCGTGGTTTGCCAGGGGAGGGGGGACTGGGGAGGGAGGAGGGTGCTCTCTCTCCGGTAGCCCCACTCAGATGCACCCTGAAGGGGAGCTGGGCCGCACTGGCAACCAGGCGGGGATGAGCTGGCTGGTGGCCTTTCCCCAGGGGGAAAAGGGACATCTCAGCATCAAGGCTTGTTCCCACCACGCCAAAGCGGCTGGTTCCCGAGGTAGGGAGCATCTCCGCACAGCCATACGACATGCCTGTCTGCACACAGAGCACCCAGCGCCGCGGTTTTGGGGTGGGAAGCCAGAATTTGGGTCTGCCCTGCAGCGTGGGCATGCACGAGGGCTGGGAGGCCATGTGTAAAGCTGCCTTTTCTCTCTGCAGCCATCTTCCCAGATGCCGGTCGAGAGAGGGATGGGGATCGTATCACTGCCCCTTCCCTGCTTGCTGGGACCCGGGTGGGAGCGAGCGGTGTGGGTGCAGGGGGCAGCAAATCCTCGGCCTGGCGTGCTGTGGCCGTGCATCCTCGCCACCTAGCCATTGGGAAACAGCCCCAACACTGGGGAATTTGGGAAAAAGAGAGGCCAACATTGGGATGGCAGAGAGGCTGGCCTAATGCAGAAATGAAAGTCACCCTGATGGCGAGTGCCTTTCCTAATCCCTTAGCCCCTGAGCCTGCATCCCTGCCTGCCCCCATGGCTGCCTGAAAGGCGAAGTGTGGCACAGCGCACGGAAATGAGAAAAACAAATGAAGTCAAGTTTCCTAAGAGTGAAGGGGAAGTGTGACTTGGCATCTCTAACGCTGTGTTTAACATGCCGGCGAGGTATTTAGAATTGAAGTGCTTGCACACAATTTAAAAATAGACAGTTTATTAATCTAAACTGCAAGTGTATGTAGAAGAGGCCTCGAGATTGACATCTTTGGGATTAGTTTAGCCCTGCGTTTTTCCAGAGGTCATCGCCATGGTGCTCAGGAGGTTTGTGGAATAAATGGGGCCGGCGTTCTTCCCGGGACCACACGCTAAAAACTAATACATAACGTTTAATTTACTGTCTCCATAGCTAGCCCAACCATTTTTCACATAATAATATTGGATTAGAGCTACCAGAAGCTGAGGGGGGAGCTGGAGGCGGGGAGGGTTTGTCTGTCTGTTGCCGAGGAATGGGGAGATGGGTATTTTTTCCCCTTCTCCAGAACATTGGAAGACAAAATGGATTTAACCCTCCCAGCTCCAGGGTGCTTGGCTTATTAGAGGAGGAAAAGGGCATTAGCACCCCTGCAGTCAGGGCTGCTGTTCTGAGTCACAACTGAAGGCTTTGAGCTTCCATCCCTCCATTTTGTAGGACATGTGCAATCCTGTTTCTTCAGAAATGGTCCTCGTTCTCTGCTGAGAAAATAAAGAAACTAAACAACAGCAGGAGCTCGGGGTCTGCACTCTGCTTCACATGGTTATCAGAGGGCTTCTCCAGAAATAAATGAGCTGCTCACCAAAACCCATCGCCGGCTGGGTTTGGCTAACACATGAGGCAGGAGAACCCCGTGCTCTGCCCGTCTCTCTCCTGGGAGGCGGAGGCCGGTGTCTCGGGGCAGACCTCGCTGCGTGCCCCCAGCCCCACCGGCTCCCGCTGGCCCTCCCAGCGCCTGGCATCCCCGTCGGGCTGAGCTGAGGAGCGTGCCAGCCCCGAGATGAGGCCAGCACAGCCCTCGGTGTTGGCAGGAGGGACCGTTCCCCGGGGAGATAACTGAGCACCCCAGCAGGTAATTCCCCCGTGACCCCTTTCAGGACATCACGTCTCTGCACGGCCGGTAGAGCCATGTTTTATGGCAGAGACCTGCAGTGCAGACAGGGATGCGGCTCTTGCCCTTGTGGCAGGGGCGGGCGGGCCGGGCGAGGGCTGGCAGCTCGTGCCGGTGGGGTTGAACCCAGCATGCCAAATCCTCCTCCCCTGCCTCCATCCCGAGCGTGCCCTCCCTCCGTGCCCACGGCAACCGCGCTGCCATGCTTTTCTTGCCGGGAGAGCTGTCCGAGCCCGGGGGATCGCATCCTGCTGACTGAACCGATTTGTATGCTGAGTCATTTTTCCACTTGCTCATATCTTTCCAAAAAATGCACATTTTTTCATGTTTCATTTCAGCCCAGAGGCAAATGTTTCTGGAATACTTGCCTTTCTCCAAGGTATTATGTTTTTTAATAATGTTGTCACCACACTTGACCTGTCCAATTCAGATGATATCTACACTTCCCTTTGCAAACATACACATATCTGAGCAGTCATTTATTGTCGGGTCTTGCCAGCTGATTCTCAGAAACAAATATCTGGAGAGCTGCATTTCCGCTGTACATTTTTTTACAATGTATTGGGCTATATTTAGCCTACTTTAGCTAATTTATATTTTAAATTAGAATTTTAAATTGCATTTTTCCCTCAAACTCTTCTAATAATAAAGTTCACTTGCAACTCAGTGTACGTTTTTTTAGATGCTGTCAAACTCCCGCAGAAATTTTCCCGCTAGAGTTCACCGTGTGTAGAATTTAGACTTACCTACTATTGACTTGAAGTTTATCAGTGATTTCTTAGGTCTCAAATATCACTGATCTTTTTAACCTTCTAAAAGGCCCTCTTTTTCTGTGCTACTTATTAAAATAAATAGCATCATTACAGAAGGAAGAGGTAGTTGCACTGCAAAGGTGCTGAGAGCTTTAGTGCGGTTTACAAAGCGATTGAGAGATTTAGTGGCACTTAGAGGGGCGGAGGAGGGCACGTTAGCACCGCTCCACGTCAGCACACCTTCACCTTACCGTGTGAATTTCTGTTGTGGTCCTCACGCATCATTTCCAGCAGGGACTGATTCTGCCCCCAGCCACCAGACCTGGGGACAAAATGACCACCCCTTTGTTGCCTGATGCATTTGCACTTTGCTAGACCCTGCAACCCGGTCCCCTCGTGGGGCAGGGTCCCACGGGAAGAGCAGAGCCAGCCCCACAGCCTGGCAGTCTGTCCCAGTGCAGCCCCACAGCCTGGCAGACGCTCTCCGCGGCTTTGAGGCCGGCTTAGCGAGAGGCAGAGAGCTCGGCGACGCTCACAGCATGAATTTCTCCTTTCTCTTGCAGTCAATTTTGTTGTCGGCCTCGATCAAGCGGGAAGGAGATTCTCCAACAGCATCACCCCACTCCTCAGATGACATCCATCACTCGGACAGATACCAGGTAAGCAGGCGGATCCTGTCGCCGGTCTCAGCCTTGGGCAGAGAGCCAGTTCGCCCCAGTGCCCGCAGCTCTCTGTGTGTGAGAGCCCGGCTCTCGGCTCTGCACCGGTGCCCCGGCTTGCCTGCCTGCAGCGTGGCGATGTGAGCACTTGGTCCCTCACATGGCTACAAAGGCGTGCTTTTGTCTGCAGAGTCCTCCCAGCTCTTACTTTAAACCACAGCCATGCAAAACTGCTTTAAATCTTTGCAGAGGTTTCTGTTGCATTATACTCATCATCTCGGTCATTGCCATGGCTATGTTTGTCATTACTTACCCTGTGCCACCGGGAAACTTTCAGAGAAGTGATTTTTTTTGTAAAACAGTGAATGATGTCAGCCTGCAGCAGGCCAAAATTCTCCATTTCACTGGTGTGCCACTGCCCAGCAAACTGACTGGTGACTCCCACCCGAAACAGAAATGGTTTTGGACCATCCACGCCCATGCCAGCGTGTTTTATAGAACACCCTCTGCCCGGAGGAGCAGCAGGTCTTGACTTGTGACACAGTGAGTAAAAGTGGAGGGAGATGGAGCAAGAAAAGAAGAGAAAGGCAGCAGCACAAGTACAGCTTTGCTTGTTGTAAGTCTGTCTGTATTTTTGGGGCGGGCTGTCACACTTGACTCTGACTCAACACACATCCAAACTGTTTGGCTGCAAGCCTGTGCTCAGCCACTGGCTTCAAGTAAGCTCTGAAAGGCAGCAGATAAACGAACAGTGCTCTTCAGCACAGACCCAAGCATGCCTCTACCTGCCGTGTGGACGGGCTGGGTGGGCCATGGCTGTACCAGCCTGGCGAACGCCCATCACCCTGTATCCCGCGGTGCTCTGCAGCGATACCCTGTGCCCAGGGTCAGGCAGACCGTCAGGTCGTCCCGCATCGGCCACTTCACGTGTGCCAGGTCTGTGTTTGGATCTGCGGAGGGAGAGGCTGATGACCAGTGCTGGGGGCCTAACCGAGCAGCCCCAGTTAAAGCATGTGTTCCTGAAGATAGGTCCTATTAGTAGCAGATTTGTACCTTTGTTGCCCATTATTCTCTCCTCTGTCCTATTTATTGGTTATACTACCAAATGTGGGCCAGATCCTCCGTTGTTTGCTACATATTCCCACGTAGCCTTCAGCTACAACTTGGTGTCACATCACAAGTCGCTTTACCCTTGTATGAACAATGAGACCTGGTACAAAGTAAGAGAAGCAAAACCCTCCAGAAGATACAGAAATGCCTGATTCGGGTAATCCCGCTCTCTTTCCTGCCTGTTTATTAAGCCTAAAAAATAAATCACCTTCTTTCCGAAAGGGCGTGGAAGATACTTTTGCCATGGCCCCCTTTGTTGGAGAACACCCCTCCCTTCCCGCTCCTCCAGACTTCAGTCTCTGTGAAATTGGTGGTCCCTTGCAGTCCTCCGTTCCTATAAATTTTTATTATGTCATACTTGAGGACAAATATTCTCAGCAGAAGCCCCCTCTATGTGCTGAGTCTAGCTAGTCTCTAATGTGTTTTAAGTTTGTGAGTGTATTTTATGGAGGGTTGCAGCCCTTAATGCAAATGTGTAATGGGAGTTGTAAGTCTGCACTGCGGGGAGAAAAGACCTCTGGGGCCTGATTTTCATTTACGCTTGTGCCGGCTGCGTTATGCTGCTCTGGCAGCGTAAAGAGACCTCAGAGTGGGTGCCAGGGTTGTGTAGAGCCTCGGTGTATCCTTAATAAAGCCACAGTATGAAAGAGAAGTCAGTCTTCCTGGCTTACCAAGTAAAATGCTCAGGAAGCAGAGCAGAAGACTCATGGTGGTGACTTTAAGGGCTGCAAAATTTAGCTTTCCATATGCAGAGGTGTGCTGGAATTATGAATGTCCCTTGTGTTATCTGTGATCTAATCGTGAATATACGGTGTATTAGTAACATGCCAGAACGTGAGTTATTGGCGTGTAGGTTTTCAGAATTCCCATGTCTCAGTTTTCTTAGTCCTCATGCTATTACCATGGGGATATTTAGGGAAGAAGGAGATTTATGAATAGGAGCGCTACAGGAATACGGGCTTGCACAGCGCTCGGGCTGCTTGCACTGCTCCCCGCGCTGAGAGGGAGCTGCAGTGGAGGCGGTGGGGCGGCTCCGGGACGTGGGGAGGGGGGATCCCCTTGCCTCCCCTGTGCCAAGCCTGGTTGCTTGAGTTTGGTACGTGGACGCCGATCGGACCGAGGTGGTGGCAGCTGGTGTAGTGCAGGACCTTGTGATATGGGTCAGTGGTGGGTGCTCCTCTGAGATACTGTATGTCCTGTCAGTCGGGGCTTTTCCTGCGCTCCGAGTAAAAATAAAGCGGTTTTAGTTAGATTTAGGTACAACCCTGAATCCCCAGTGGAAAAATCAACAGCAAATTGTAAGTCATTCACCATACTGCAAAGATAACATTCCAGGCTTGGAGGGAGACCACCTTGCGTGGCTCAGCTGAGCCCACAGAATATTTGTGACCGAATAATATGTGGAGTAAGTACAACTGAAAGCCTAAAATCCTTGTCCAGGAAAGGCTCGCCTCCCTCCACCTGAGCTCAGCAGTGAGCATGCCTCCTGAAAGACAGCTTAATTAATTAACAAGGTAAAACCAACAAACAGCAGCTTTGATTTTTGTAAGTAAGCACACGTATGAAAATACAGCTGCATTTCAGCTTGCAGACAGAGCTGGGATGTACGATGCAGGTCAGCACTGCGCAAAGCTTACCAGCCAGCACCTCAACTTGCTGACTGCCCATCATCTTCTGATACAGCAAAACATACCGGGGTTTTTTTTCTTTTCCCTCTGAAGGAGTGGCAGATTGTCAGGTGCCAGAGCAAAGACCCAAAATGTAGGTGTGATTCCAAGAAACGAAGTCTGGGGAGTCCGCGGAGGGGGGAACAAACGGGATTTGCGTGTGTAGGAGCCTGTGCTGCCCCATTTCTAGCCCCTAGCTCTGCCCTACCCTCAGGCTGGTCCACTGGGGCTGTCCCCCACCACAGCTGTGGGAAAGAAATCCACCAGCCGGGTTTGATTGCCCAGGTTTGCCAAAATGCGGAAAGGAAAA